CCAACCAGTGTTATATTTAAACTGTCAATACGCCATTTTTATGACATGAGTAGTGATCCTTTCTAATATATTCATAAATATCTATCCGTTCACCTCCAACCGATTTCTATTTTCCTATGGCATTTCCAGCTCCCTCATCAACTCTGCCATCTCCCTCTACCTCCTTGGCTGCGGTCGAGATGGCTTCTCTCTTCATTGGTGACCAGAAGCCGTTTCCGGTCGTTACCACTATTAGTGACCATTTTGCTTCTGGTCGCCTTATTACCTCCGTTCCACCAACCTCTTCTGTTGTTACCTCGAGCCTACCTTTATCTGAGGTGGCCTCCCACTCCCACTACCAAAGTTCATCACAGCCGTTACTTCCATTTTGTTGTTATCCTCCGCTTATATCCAGTCTTCAACCCCTCGAGACAGCCGCTCTTCCAGAACTTTGCCAGCCCACTTCATGTAGCCCCTCCGCGATAAGTTGTTATGCCCAACCTCCCGCCAACTCACCTGCCTACTATGCCTTGTTAAACCATGACGTTGGGATGCAGGGTTATGCCCCACCACAGTCTCTTATTCAGTCACAACATAATCTTCCAACAGCCTTGCCAAAAGCACCGGATCATTCATTACAGTATGATTCCCAGTCCTTCCATCATTTGCGAGCTCCTTTGGCGCACCAGCACACTCATGCATCAGCTCTCAAGTCATCAACTCCGACACTTACAAGCGGATTTAGTGGCCTTCGTTCTCTCTACCCTCTTCCTCCCCCTCCCCCTCCTCCTCCCCCTCCTCCTCCATCCCTTCTGCCAGTTTCTGCTCTGCCTCAGATACCAAATCCGTCTCTGCAGTTTCCATCCTACATTATCGGCCGATTGCCAGCAGCATGCGGCTTGCAGACTATTCCTATGACCCTTACTACTCCTTTGGCCCATATTCCCACTCAGGTAACATCAATGTCAGCCGCACTATTACCTCCACCACCTCCATCACCTCCACCACTTCCTTCTGTTTCTGCCCTTTCCTCACTTACATCTCACTTGCGCTCCTTTGCGCCGCATTCAAACAAACATTCTCTTCCTCCACCAACTACTTTCCCACCTACTTTGACCAAAGCTTCTGGCAGTCACAGCCTCTCTTCAACTTCTTCGGTATCCGCAACTTCCACTTCAGTCACAAACATCAACACCTACTCGCCATCAATAACAAATGGGTCTGGCTCATCGGCTGCAGTGGCTTCAATCAATATAAGTAATGGAGTAAACCAACGCATCGCTCAGCTCCAGCAGGCGGGCCATGACGCCTCCTTTCAGCTCATACTCTTGCAGGACATCAACCAGGTAAGGTCCAATATTGTCTTTTTAACGACAGCAAGATATCAAGAGCAGTTTTATAACAATCCATAGAGTTATTATAAATTATCATTGATTTTACTACTGCTTTTTTACATGGATTTCTTGCGAAAGTCGCTTTACTTTGTAATATTTGAATAAGAGCTGTATTTACTTCAAGTCGCATAAGATTACAAAGGACCCCCAGTTGAATTTTCCCATATTCATTTGAGTATAAGCCTAACGTTTCCATTGAATTTTACATAGCCTTGTTTCTCAAAAGGTATTCTCATTTAGGGTAGACTGCAGTTTTAACTATCAGTCCTTCATTACTTAATGCGACCTAGGGTGGATACAGATCCCATTTGAGATATACTGGTAGTTTTGAAGATCTACTCAATGCTAATATGATATTTAAATTTATCATTTTATGCGTTGTTTGGCTAAAATAATTATGTACTTTCCGTCTGGTCATTGTAGGAATAAAAGTAACTTTATTTGTTTTGCATGGCTGATCCATATTACTTTATATTAAATACAACTGAATTTCTCCATTGTTATTAAACAATTATTTTCATATATTATAGTATTATTATTATTTACTCATTTTATAAACTCGTATTACGAGTCAGTTGATTTGTAATTTCACGTTAAATTCTTCGTAACATCATTCCCTACTGTCCATTTGATCATTAAATTAATAAAAATGTTTTTCGTTTATAGGAAGAGTTTCAATACTTCCAGTAAATCAGTTATATGAAATGAATTCACTCTATTTTTTTCTAAGGTGATGAAGGACTGGTAGCTGAATTTTCTCACAATGAGGTAAGTAGAGCTGAGGTTTCCATTGAATCTCATATAGCCTTACTTTCTCTGATGGTGTTCTCATCCAGGGTGGACTGCAATTTCTACCTCGCCTAGGTCTTATCAACACCCCCAGCGTGAGTCGAATCACCAGAATGTAGCGTGTAATCTCGACAAGTTAACCACTACGCCACATTGCCACCAGTGTCCTTAGGTCACAAGGAATTTCCAGGAAGGCCAGACATTTTCCCATATAGCATTTTTTTGGTGGTATTGTCGATGAAACAAAGTTATATTTACTATAATGATCGTTTACATTGCTGTAGCAAATATCACTTTGTTTACCCTGGGGCCTGAAGGCACTCGTGATAGTGGCTTGGTGGTTAACGTATCGAGATTACGTGTTGCACTTTTATGTTTTAAGTCCCGCTGGGTATGTTGATAAGACCTAGGCGAGGTCCAAACTGCAGTCCACCCTTGGCGAGAACACCTTTTGGGAAAGCAAAACTGTAAAATTCAATGGAAACGTCAGCTCTATTAATATCATTGTAAGAAAATTCAGCTATCTGTCTTTCATCACCTTAAACTACTTAGTGTGCATACATCTTATAACCAAAATGTTCAATTTCGTTGCACTGCTTCTCAACTATAGCAATCATTAGTACGGGCCAAAATGTATCACAGATCTTAGTCGAAATTGTTTATCTATCATATTCTCTGCTAACTTGAGGTGTTATTACATTATACGCATCGTAACAATAAGAAATATAAATGCTTATCCATTTGACATTTGCTCTGGGCTAGGATGATTGCGTTGTTCTAGTTACCATAG